TTCATGTTCTGATTATTTCAGTTTTCTTACTTATGGTACTTAATTGCAAATACATTTATGTGTAATGAAATTATAAAAAGGCTAGACAAAGCAAACCTGTGACAGAGAAGTGTTCCAGCATGAGCACGGCTTGTTTTCTGAAGCTTTAGGGGGGGAAAAAACTGGCATGTACTTGGTGGATCCTGAAGGTAACAGGATACATATAGCCTGGACAGAGGGTGGGAGGACCCATAGCTCATTAATATCTTGGGGCCCTTTGACATGTTAATCCAGGTTGGAAACATGTGGAATGATTAATAGATGGTCAGATAAGGTCCAGTATTAAAATTAAATGTAAATCACATCACAATCACTATACAAGGCTTACTTTGTCTTGCCAGTAGGCGGTGCTATAACAGTGAGTGAATATTGGCACTGGCAACAAATACATACAAATATGTAAAGTTTGAGGCTGATTGCAGAATGGAACTAAGAGTTAGGGTTAGAGTGAGGGGTTCCTTTTTCATGGCCAAATTTGGACAGCACACCAGAAACACCCTTTGACCAATTCCAACCAAGATTTTAAACTTTTTATTTTGAACTCACCAATTTTGAGATCAATGATCAATTATGATCAATTCCCTAAGAGGAGTTCGTTAAAATAGAAGCCCTGGAAATGAGAGGAAATGGCGACAAAATATGACATTAAATGCAAAATGGCGGACTTCCTATTGGGTTTAGGATGGCTTTTTTTGTTCGTCTTGGCATGATACATATGTCTACCAATTTCCATACATATCCGTGAATATGGGATGCTGGGGCTGTTTTTTTGGAATATTGTAAGGGGCGCAATCAAGCCGTTTTGACATATCAATATCCAAGTCCCATATGAAATGTAAAATCCTGCCATTTGGGACGTGTGTGCAAGTTTCATGAATCTTTGAGCATGTCCAGCCCTGTAACTGTTTCAACAGAAATTTAAATTTGCTGTGTCGCCATGGCAACATGGATCAATAACATATGCATTAGATTTTCATCATCAATGTCTAAATAGTTTGCTGATCAAATTTCAGCTGGATCTGGTCAATCTGCTATGAGAAATACATAAAAGTATAAAATTCAATTCTCTATGAGGAGTGCAAAAGGCCACTAAATGGATACTAGTCATCCATTTGGCAGACTTCCTGTTCGGCTAGGAGGATGGGCCCTTGAGGCTCTTTCAATCGTCTGACCTTCATATATGTGCGCCCCTCATGGCCATGTACAAAACCCATAGAATACATACATTTTCGGTACAGCTGAATTTTGTGCTGCCTTTCATGGGTTTGTTGCAGCTGCCAAAAATGTGATTTATCATTAGTGAAAAAGCTATTGCAATGGTGGCGTTGGCTTACTGAACATCCTATGTGGTGTGCACATTTAGGGGATCCAGATATCCGTTTCAACAGTTTATTTCGGTGTGTAGGTGAAGGTTTGCACAGGTGTTTGGTGGATGTGGATGATTTTTAAAAAATCATTAATGCATCCCCAATCTGGCTTTATTTTCTCTCTTTTCTTCTTATAATCAAAACATTTAGCAGGTTCTCTTTGTTCTTCTTGGTATGGTTTGGAGGGAAAAGAGCAAAATCAGATCTAAAGGGTGGAGATATATAATCTTGGGGGAGTGGTTCAGTGAGGAGTGGCAGTGATGCAGATGGAGGAGGAGAGTTGTGATTCAACAATTAGGAATAATAATAATTCCTTCAAATACAATAGGGCTGTCACACGATTAGTGCTCAGGTCCTAAAAATAGAATCGTAGGACCGTGGTAGCTTACAAGGTAGATCTGGTCCCCCATGTACCAAGGCTGAGTCCCTGCTGCAGCGGTGCTTTCTTGTCCATCTAGAGCTGTCCTATCAAATAAAAAAAAGCCATATGCCACAAATAATAATATATATATATTACCCTGCTTGTTGTAATAAACACACCATATTAAATGAATACAGAAATATATACAAGAATTACTTCAACCGTTCCAGTAGCAATGCAGTTAAAACACAATAATTAAATAGTAAAGGTTATATCTCAAACTGCTCGCCGTGGGCCATTTGTGGCCCTCCATCATTCTCCCTCTGGCCCGTGACATGATGTCAAAAATATAATATAACCCGGTCTGCAAAATCATTGTTATTTATTATTTATTTTATTTTTAGGTCGGCAAATACAGATGCTGGGAATGAGACTCGTCAATGATCTTTCTGGGCTCTGATTGGTTGTTTTTGTACTATAAAAATATATTGTATAATGTATTTTTATTTTTTTTAAAAAGACCAGGACATTAGAGTCGGCTACACAGATACTTTGGGAAAATTATAATATGTAGTGCATTAGTTTTTAATTAAAAGTGTCTTTTTTCTTTTTTTGTTTGTTAATGTTACACCCCTTCTTGGTGTGTTTTTTTAAACAAAAGGAGGCAGGAGAAAAGGAGTGTGAGAATAAAGATGGTGACCATTTTAAATGATATGTGTGTCATTGTATTTATTTATTTTTTTGACTGTAACTAAAAGAACTAAAATGTTCTATGATAATAATTACATGACAAAATCTAAAAGTAAGGTGGTGTTTGGCTCCATCTACTGGCCAGTCACCATTAAACAAAAAATAGTTTTGTAACATGAGGAGTGCATGGTGAGATGTAAAGTAAATGAATGTATGGTGTTGGCACTTAACAGTTACAGTTAACAGTTTAAAAGCTCACTGCATTAACGTTATAGAACTAAGACTTGACGGATAACAACAGGTTTTTTAGACTCTAACAAAGTCGTTGCTAAACTGATGATGAAGTTTGGGTTACAGTTAGGTCTATTTTAGATGTGAAAGGAGTTTCTTCATTGTGTTCCCACACGTCAGACACACCAGAGTCTCAAAAAACAGTACTGAATAACCCCTGTAGGCAGATTTTCAATAAAGAAGAAGATTATTGTTATTGTATAACTTTAGCTATTCAACAGTACCACAAACTGTAGACTCAAAACAAAAAACCTTCACAAAGATAGAATCTATGACATGGCTATTGTATTAAATTGTATTAGTATTATCATCAACTAGGTGGCTATGGCATGTTTTAGTCACAGGGTGGCGTTGCTGCTTCAACACACACAATTGTTATTGAATTTATGAGTTTTAGGAGATATAATTAAAATACCTGTCAGCAGTATGGGAAATTAGTACCAGCTAAAAGCTGGTAAAGTTGGAAACTGGCTAGTGAATTTGAACATTTATCTGTCAGTTGCTGGTAGATGTTACATTTTAACTATGTCTATGTCCCACCCTGGTCAGCACAAATACACCACAAAAATGTCCCTGTCAACATTATCACATATAGAAATATCTCAAAGCTGCAATGAACATTAACAGCACAAATAGGCCACAATAGGTACAGATTACAGTATCATGCTCTACATAAAAATGCACTAACTCACTCCAAGACTTTTTTTTTGCTGAATGCCTTTTTCCTGTAAACAGGTTGTCATTTAAAGCCCTGAGGGTTAATGTTGCATCATCCGTCCCTGTAAGAAATAACAGAAAAATGTATCTCAGATGTAACCTGCAGACCCAATTACAACTGCCACAGGACTACACCTTTGGATGACAACATGAAATGTTTTTCATACAATAATTTGACATTAGCGACTCTTCGTAAACCCATGCCAGGATTACAGCAGCTGAAATGGGTGTCGAAGCAACCACAGCATCGAGTTTTCAAATTGCACAAACGTGTCTTGTCACTGAAAGGTCTTTTCTGTCCCAAAATGACTTCATTTCACTCATTGTAGTCATATTTTAAATATTATAGCTCATCCAGTTTTTGTACCAGTTGAAACACCTTTAA